GGTTCCGAGTGATGGTAAGGGTTGTGATTATACAGTCGTAGTATCCGCATGTTGAATATTTTGAATCAGCTTCCCATAAGACATATTAAACTCATGCACATTTGCCTCTTTAGTCTTTGCTTTTAATGTATTTTATTTAAATTAAAATGTAAAAGATCTATGCTCAAGTCATAAGGCTGTTGTTGTTAGTTGAAGACTATAGTAGTTTCAATCTTGTAGTTTGTCGTAATTTGGGGTTTTCCCAAGGTTCGTCGAAGATTATGTAAAGCACTTTTTAAATTTTTTATTTTGTACCTTGTGTGATTCCCGTGGTACTACTGACCTAAAAACAAAAAAGAACGAATTTTCACTTTGACATCCTTTTTCCTGTTACAACAATGTAATGCAGCAAAGCCCATAGCTATCAAAATTATTGCATTCAAGACAACTGAAAAGAAAACTCCTACAGAGTGACAAGAACTCTCGCATTTCAAAATCCCAGAATGGCCGCTTCTATCTCCACTCTCCTAAAGCAATCAAGACTAGGAATCATAACTCAGAAAACCTTTTCCAAAAGCAACTATAAATTCAAACTTCAGCTTCATTTTCCATACCAATCCCCAAGATGGCCTCTTCTATTCTTCAGCCAATGTTTTTTCAATATCAACCTCCAGAATGAAAAGATAATGATGATGATAATAATAATAATAAATAAATAAATAAATTTAGAAGCAAAGAGGAATTGATTCATCAAAAAGCTGAACAAAAAGAAAAGAATCATGGTTAGAGCTCAGCTAACGCAAAGAACCTCCAAAACAAGGGAAACTTTTTAGCAAGGCAAACAAGTCCCATAACCTCCCCTGTTTCCAACCTTGTATATGTCATAACACAAATTCGATGGCTGAAAGGATAAATTAGTGGAATTCATCTACCATGAATATTTTAAAGAGCTTAATTAGTCAAAGCTACATTAAGCAATAGAAAAATGGGCAGATATTGCAAATTTGCAATAAAAAATAGGCATACTGGGCAGAGATAAAGAGTTGCATGGATATAACGAGATCATAATACACATTAAAAAGTCAGTTCACATCATAAAGACATTGATAGCAAAGAAAAGGATCTCAAGAATGAAGCCTCACTGAATCCTTTCACAATGATTACATTATGAGTTGTCACTCCTATTACTAACTTGAATAACCACCAAGATGTTTTGGTATACAGCCACAATGAAAGAAGGATGCCAAAGGGCATGATTTACATCAAACTTTCAGTCCGATTGTTGCTCTAACCAGTTAAGCCCATAGACTTCAGTAGTTCTATACTCCATTGCCAAGATTACAATCAAGCATATTCAAAATTCCACAACAAAGATACTAAAGTTACGATCCAGATCAGGCTATTGAACAACACGAATGCTTTCCAGTTGAGCAAGTACACCATATGATGTTTGATGTCTGTGGCGCAAAAGTAAGTGAAATGCGAAGAAGAACATGTCTACAGAAGAAGGGCTAAAGCTTCAATGGAAATTACTGTGATAATCTACGCTTGATATCTGCCTGTGGTTACTTTCTCACAAGGAAATAATGAAGTTGGGTGTAAGAATAAAGACCATACAAAACTATAATGGAGAAGCTAGCTACCAAAATGGTGATTCATTAACTGTAAGCATAAGGATGAGAATAAGAGCTTGATACTTACATGGCAGGTAGGACTATCATCAAGTTGAATTGTAACATTAGCTACAAGCCCTTCGATGCCCCAATCCTTTTGTATTCCCAAATTCTAAAAACAAAATAGGAAGAAAACTGCTTCAATAGTCAAAATACGAACCAAACTAAACCCACTTCCTAAGGATTGTTTTATAGGAATATCAAATCACCCCTTTTGTTATAAGATGTTTCAGGGCACCCACATAACACCTCGTTAAGACAAGTTTACTTTAGAAAGGACACGGTTAGCATGCGGCCAGCCCACATGTTGTAGAAATGTGGACTTAGCAATAAATATATTTCCTAAATGTGATTTGATCCTAATTTTTAGAGGACATATAATCTTTAACATGGAGATCTTGAATATGAAAAAAAAAAAAAAAAAGTTGAAAACTAAAAATAATAATTATATTAAGAAAACATTTGGACCGTTAGTTACAATCATTCTTAAATGGACCACCTATTTGCATCCTTCTTTAAAATGGATGCTTTATACCTTTGGACCATATATTGTAGAAATGCAGTCCAGCCTGCATGAAACAATTATTCCTTTAGAAAAGAGCACTCAATCACATCAGTTTATTCAGAAGTGAGCTACACTATGTCAAGGAAAAACATCTCCAAGTACGTGTATCAAAATAAGACATCTTAGGAAACAAAACAAACACAAAAACTTCCAAAGTCCCAGTTATAAGACAAGCATTCCATGTATCAGCAGAAATTCAGGCTTATCTTACCTTCCAAGTTCCAACAACGGTGCTCTAAACAATGAAGGTGTGGGAGCTGTTAGACTTGTAGATTCCGCATTTGAATCCAATTCTTATTTGAAAAAGATGGAAATTACACACCCTACATCTAGCTAGTGTAATCTATAGCAGCAAATAGTCATATTCATAAAAATTTATTAAAAAATTCAGAATCCCCCAATGAAAATCGAAGAAATCAAGGACCCACTTCAATACTATAGAGACATGACCAATTGCCTATCAAAATGAAGTAGCTACTACAAAAAATAGCTACCGGGATCTCCCACCTAGGTGTCAATCCCGCTCCTAGATCTTACTCTAGCACTCTTGGATAGGGATCTCGATTCTCATATTTTGAGATCTTAATCCTTGCTTTTCAGGGATCGCTCTTAGACACTCGAAGAGGCAACAAGAGACCAAGATGTTAATTCATTTGAATCTTAGTTGCTATTGTACTCTCTGTATTGCTAATGTTTTTGGATGTTGTAAAGTGGAAATTGCAAATAAGAGAGTCTGTTATGCTTTTGGATGTTGTTAAGGGTGAAATTGTAAACAAAATAGATTTCTATCAATAAGAAATCAGCTCCATTGTATTGTTATCGGTTTTCTCGATGTACTTCACCATAATGTTTTTTTTCTTTTTGTGGGATTATTGTTACATAAACTGTCTTGAAGGAGCATAAAAATATTACTTATTAAAAATATAAAATTTAGTCAACAAATAATTACTTTTTTATTGCCCTTTACTGTCTGCTTTTTTTCAATTGTATTATATGGGGATTATTAGATTTTTAAATTTTCCATTTCAATTTTTTATTCATTAATTAAAAATTGGTAAGGAATGCGCTCCCGGCCTATGAAGCTCCCTGAGTGTGTAGACCCATCACTCGCACCCGAGAACCCACTCCAAGCAACTATGCTCCAAAATATTCAAAATGTTATTAACATGAAAGATGCAACTACGTTCCATTTAATCCACTTTCAGCTGCTTTTTCCATATCAATCTCTAAGATGTTGTTCCTCTGAGTGTGATTATCAACCTTCAGAAAAGGAAAAAGAAAAAAAAATGGATAATCTATAACTAAATATAATCAATTGTTGAAGTCTAGAAGCACGTAGGAATATGCTTATCATAACAAAAGATGAGGAAGAAGAAAAGAATCATGTTTAAAAGCACATCATAAATCCAAAGAACTTCTAATAAGGAACTTCTTATAAAGCAAAAAACTCCCACAACATCAAAGAACCTCTAACAAGGAACTTCTTAATAAGCAAAAAACTCCCACAACATCATTTGTATCCAAGGAATTAAAAAAGACAGTGGGTGTCATCCAAGATGTCAATACTCAATGAGATCTAGGAGTGCATTGGGGTTGCCACACTAATGACGGGATACAGTAGGGGCCGTGATGATCCTGGAAGTCTCTGGAGGAATTGGACAATGAACATGTTTATGCTATTCTTAGAGCAGGACATAAATTTCATTAAGAAGATCTTAGCATTTCTTGCATATGCAAGTTCATTCTTGTTATTGACTTTGAACATCGCAGTGTCTCTTTGCTTGAATGAAGCCCGTTTTTTATGCATTTTTTGTTTTTATGAGGTAAGAAACTGCCATGGATTTGTGCATTTGGTGTCAATACTGCATCTCTCATTATTGTACGTTTACATTTGCTGAAAATATTATTTTTGCCCATATTTCAGTTTGAAAATAACATTTATTTACATTTTAGAATTGTTCTTCTTTGTTGCAGTATGTAAAGAAGTTTACTTGTTCTTCTTTCTCGCAGTATGTAGTCAAGCTCGATGGCATAAGTTTCATTGAAATGATGGAGTAGGTTTTTGCAATTTAGAACTACCCTGATTTGAGTTGTCAATGCAATTACCATGGATTATGCAAATTTTTTGCTTTTTGCATGTGCTGGTGACTTACGCACTAAGTAGTGAGTAGTTTTTCATTTTATAAAGGACATGATAGTGTTGCAGGTTCCTTCACTTACAAATATACCGCCCCAATCATCGAAGTTGCACCTGATTCCAATAAGCATATAAGATGCAGAACAGCGTCCAGAAAGTGGGGGAGTCCAAGCAGCATAGATATGATAACAATGCAGAGTAGTTCTTCGAAACTTGGCAAGTCTGAGTGAGACTGGGCAGGCCGCTGAGTCTGGAAGAAAAATATTGGACACGCGCAGAGTCTCACCAGTTCCCAACGTTATATTGTTGATTTTATCAAGAGTCAGCCAAGTCTGATAGACTCAGGCCCAGACTAGGGCAGGTCAAGTTGCCTGACTCAGGCACGGGACCCTAGCCAGTCCCAACCTAGTCCTTGCCATACATCACTGATGCAGACAAGTACATGATAATATTGCTGAAGAGATCTATTCTCGTTCTGATTTCCTTTTGAATACTTTTTTAGTATTCGGCTCCTGACCATTTTGCGGGAAATACTTGCCAGTAGGAATTGTGGAGTAATAAATCTGACACAAGACATTGCTCACTCATGAGGAAATTTACTATAAAATCCGGTGGCTCCAGTGATGACCTTCTTTACTGTAATTTATGCAAAAACACCACTAGATCATTATTCATTGGATCTTCTTCAATGCCAGCCCCCAGCTTAAACAGTCAAGAGGATGAAACGGTTCTTTTGATATTATGCATCCTATGGAGAATAAAATGAGGAAAACTAAGTATATCCACATGTTCATCACTCACAAAAGGCATAGATAAAAATAGGGGAAACAAAAGGATATATAAAAAACATAAAACCCATGGTTGTGGACACCTCAGAAGGCTGTAGACTACAATGTCTCACACATCTCTTTCACCCATAGTAATCGGCGGTCACCTTTGAGCGTCATAAATATAACTGCATTCTTTTCATCCTTCAACATTTTGCAAGCCCTTACAAAGAGCCCATCATCCAATCCTTCCATTGACTGTAGTTCTTCTATGCATTTCTTAAGCTCTTGTTCTGAACTAGCCTCTGCCACCTGACTTGCCCTAAACCTTGAATTAGCTGCCATCTCTTGTAGGGTCTGTAACATAATCTCGCCAATGTCCTTTCGTGCTCTTTTGCCACAATTCGATGAAGTTGGCAGCACAAATTTACGCTTGTTGGGTTGATGCAACGTACTCATGTCCTCCCTTGAACTCGATGACTCCTCGTCCTCAAACTCCAATGAAGCTATATCATCTGAGGAGATAACTGGAGACTGTAGACCTCCTCTCACTCTTGTGCCCTCCTCCAGCACCTCTCCGCGATTACTGGATTCGATTGAATTTCCAAAAATTATGCCCAATTCTCCCCATAGTGGCAAGCTCTTTGTTCTATAAGGTTTGGCCTCAGGGTGTTCCTGCATGTACCACATGTAAGATACTAGCAAGAAGCATACAAGGAAAAAGGTTCTACTGGAAAAGGGTCTACAAGGTAGCTATAGGCCCAAGGGCCTTAGGATGATTTGCATGACTCGTATGTCCTTTATTCGTTACAGTGATCAACCCAAAAAGAAAAAAGAAAATGAATTTGCGCATTAAATTCCTCCAACAGCTCTTTACAGTGAGATCTAGGGTTTTAGGAGTTCCAAATCAGTTATTTATTTCTTTATTTATATATTTATTCTTAAGTTTGATCACTAGGTGAATCAAACATGTTCTCCAAAAGTCCAAGTGTAAGTGTCCCTAGCTAAGGTCTTTTCATCTCTCAGCCTAGGCCTGCCTGAACATGGGCTGACAGACAGCTCAACCAACAGAATCTTTTTCCAGCATTTAATTTGGAAATACAACTTACCAATATGTAATGATCCCAAACTTCTGGTTCAGCCTTCACAATCTTTCTGGTTTCATCCCAACTGAACTCACTTTGTTCAATGAGAATCTTGACAAGTTTGTACTCTTTCCTAAAGTAAACATAACGATTTTTTAACTGCTGTTTGTCGAGGTTTTGATAGAACTTCCTGTTGAATTTTATGACCATATAGTGCCATGCCTCTTTTCTGAATCCATTCTCTATCCTTTTTCCTTTATTTACTTGGTCAACCATAAGGCGAACGAGGTACTCATCCCAAGCTGGATTCCACACCAACCTTCGTTGTTCCGGGGAAGGCTCACGCGCTCGCCTACCCATAATTCAAAATCCCTGCATTTGTTTTTCAGTAAATTCCATTTACCATATGGCATATTCTAAGAAAAGTAGGTTCTCAGCCTAAAATACATCACATTTTACTGATAATTTAAAACTCATTTTATGCTAATAATTTAAATAAATGATCAGCGAACCTCGTTTCTCATGATAAAGCATGCATCAAAAGCAAACTTCCTAGCAAAATAAAATTTCATAACCCTTAAAGAGGCATAAATCCACCAATTTGCTATGAACATTGTCAAAACAAAATCCAAGATCAATAAACCCCTCAAATCTGAAACAATTCATTACTGTACATTAATATTTAGAAAAAAAAGATAAAAAATTTCAATGTATATCGTGACATTTGTACGATGCCAAGAAAGAAAGAGAGAATGCATGTTATAATAGATGACAGAGAAAGATAGGGGCTATAAGATTCTAGAACTTCTATTGGTTATATAACTGGCTTATCTGGGGAAACAAGGAGATTATACTATAATGTATGCTGCTGAGCATTGGTAGTTAGTACTATACAACATGGAGCAAAATATACCTACCACGAATTATAGGTAGAAGCATAGAAAATACTGGACCTAAAGAATTTCAGCAGATACATCACACGCTTAAACCGAAAACATGATAAACTTCCATAGTGAATAGAACCGCAAAGTTATTACTCTCTCTCTCTCTCTCTCACACACACACACACACACACACAACCTCCCCTCAGTTCTGATCTCTCAAACATCCCTTTGTAGTATGTTTATCTTTATTGATATACATCATTATAAATACATAATGAGATATGTATATGTATGGTATATATCTCTTAGGGGTCTCTTAATTATAATAAGATTAGTTAGTAGTTATCCATAACAGTTGGTATTTATCTTTAATTGTCATTGGCCGTATATTTATACGAGTCTTGTACATTCTTGATCAATCAATAAAGCGAGAGCTCCATGGGGGCCTAAGGCCCAAGTATACAGAGATGCAGTTTCTTAACATGGTATCCGAGCGTTGATCTGTCTTCAATTGGTTTTCTTCTTTTATAAAACGTCTAGTTTCTCTCTCTAGAAAAGATCTCGTGAAGTTGGGTTTCTTTATTTTTTATTTCTTCAGTTGCTATGCATTTTTCTTCTATTCAAGAACGGTTTCCTGAGTTCCTTGTCTATCCTCCATGTGGCTTTTGTCAAAGGGAATTAGGGTTTCAGCTGTCGTCTCTTTATCCTCCAAATAACTTGCGCCCGGGTTCCAAAACTAGGGAGACTTTGAGTAGCTTTAGTGGAGGAATTTTCAGAGGCCTTCGAAGTAGGTGCACAAGGTAATTCTTGGTTAGGCTCCACCACTTCTGAGACAGCTAAGACATCAAAAGAAGAGGTTTCCTCTATCTCTTTTGCCAAGCATGGAGCAGTAAACATTCCGGGCACACTTAGTGAAGGATCAAAATCAACCGTCTTTTTGACCATAGGCTGATGATCTTGATCTATAAGAGATCCACTTCCATAATTTTCAGAGGTAACATCACTGGATGGTGAATACATGCCACTTTGTTGTTCATCTTGCTTAGTTTCTTGAGAATTTCACTATTGAGTTCAATAAAGTGATTTTCTTCTGAGTCGGTGCCTTTGTCATTGTCTATGAGTTTGTGTGCATCTTTGTCAAAGCAACTACATGAATTCTTAGGTGGCTGCAAAGGTGTTTGTTGCCCACAGTCTTCATCCACCTTTAAAAATGGCCTCTAAAAACGGCCGATCTGCACTATCCACCGAGTCATTCTTCGACTATCTGCCCAGTCGTTCTTCGACTATCCGCTGAGTACTATCCGCTGAGTCCTTCTTCGACTATCTGCCGACTCCTTCTTCGACTATCCGCCAAGTCCTTCTTCGACTTTCCGCTGAGTCATGCTTCGACTCTCTGCCAAGTCGTGCTTCGACTCTCTGCAAAACAGCTTTTGTCCTTGTTCTGGCCTGTGTTCTAGACTGCGAGTTGCTGAATCTGTCTCGGATCCTCACCGAGTTCTATTGGCTCTTCCAAGTGCCATTCTATGCTTGGTCTTGCTTGAAGACCACTGCTTCTATTGGTCACGCCACGCACATGAAAACTTAAAGATTCAACTCGCTCGTTTATGCAACTTATTGTTCAAACTCCAGCTGCTTTGTGTAAAAGCATCTTGAGATTGAGGGGGACTATTAGAGTATGTTTATCTTTATTGATATACATCATTATGAATACACAATGAGATATGTATATGTATGGTATATATCTCTTAGGTGTCTCTTGATTATGACAAGATCAGTTAGTAGTTATCCATAATCGTTGGTATTTATCTTTAATTGTTACTGGCCGTATATTTAAACGGGTCTTGTATATTCTTGATCAATCAGTAAAGAGAGAGTTCCATGGGGGCCTAAGGCCCAAGTATACATAGATGCAGTTTCTTAACACCCTTCCTAACAATCCAAATTCTACATCCCAAAGTTCACTAGTTCTCACAACCCTATATTCCAAAAGTGCTACAAAAAGAAGACAGCTTGGTCTCTCCTAAAACTGGCCTTCTCTAAAGCAAGTGCAACTCACATATCACAATAAGCTCTACAGAAAGTGCAGTTCAATCAAGAAACGTATATACAATCATCCCTCTGATATGAAAAGTAAAAATGAAAGAAAGAAAACATAAGCAACAATTATTTGGACAAGCATCCCTAAACTACAACAGGAAGCTGAAAAATTGAGCCACCTCTTTATATTTAACCCAATGGAAATGCCTACTTCGAGCTTAATTTCCTCCATATTGCCAAAAATTATAGCTCTAGTCCCTTCTCAAACCCAACCCTAATTATAGCTCTAGTCCCTTCTCAAACCCAACCAGTAATTTGATAGCCCGTTTACATTGAAATTCCAGAAACCCATAAAGTATAAATGCTTTCTCTATTTAAAAGAAAACCCTATATTGATGTTCAATCTCTATTGGAGAACTCTATCTCTCTAAAAACAAGCAGTTATGGTCAATCACCATTGAAATCCCAGCCCATTTACCCCCAACCAACAGAAGAAAAAAAACAAAAGAAAAAGAAACCTTCAACAGAAGAACCCTCATAATTCATGACCCCATAAAACATCACAAAATTGGATACACTCGACAACATGGAGCATAATCATGGTTAAACAAACCAAATTCACAACTCCATCCAACAACAAGACCACTTGACACATGGTTGAAGCCTCAAATATCCAAGGAACCGTTAATGACCAAATAACGCTACTATGAGAAAAATCACAGGACATTAATGGATTGCAACAAGCATGAGAGAGAGAGATAACCGGTAGAGGGTTTAATGGAGAGAGGGCGGGGCGAGGGAGAAGGGCTAGCAGTGCGACACCCAGCATCGATAACTGAGATATTTTCCAAAAAGAGGCATGCAGGAATTAGGTAACGAGCGACGGTACAATGTGGTTTACTAAATTTTCCCTCGGCCCGTCCCAATCCTAGTAAGGGAGGTGGGTTGTCTTAGGTACTCAGCCCATATATCAGTTTGATATGTCTTTTATGAATCATGAATCTATCTTATGTCTAAATAATTGGGATAAGACTTTGATTAAGATAATAACAAAAAATTTAATAATAAAAAATTGGAATCGTGATTTTGGGTTTATGACAATTTGGAGTTATAACTTGGCCAATCGAAAGTCTTTTATCACACTTTTTGGTGCGAAATGATCATGATGAGATCCACTTTGATTTGCCACCAGAAAACCCTCAATAAATTCGGCATTATGAAGAAATCGATCAAAAGGTGTTGAAGAAAAATTACATGAAAACCATAAAACCCAAGACAACAAAAAACTCTAACAAATCTTCATGGCTCTATGCATAACATATATCAAAATGATCATAACGGTGCAATCTATGTTTTTCGATGATAGTTCGCCCGTGTTGATGTTGGAAAAGTCGAAAACAAGGTCTCATACCATATGGTTGGGAAGATGCTCTCTTTGAGGGACCTAATCATTTATTTTAGGCATTTCTCATATCCTTTTTCTTGTTAATTTTTCATTTGCCCAAATTTCATTGTATTTTTCATCTTTTTTTTTCTTTTCACCCAATTTTCTTAAGTTTTGAGCATCCATTTATATTCAAGGGGGAGCTCTATATAAACCGGTAGAACTCATGTAATTTAACGAGAACTTTTTTTTCTTTGAGATTAATGAAATTCTGTCACCTTAAAAGAGGAGAAAGAAAATTTTGGTGCAAAAAAGTTCTTACCCTTACCCCAAATTTAACTATCATTCCCTAGTTAACCCAACCCAATCCTAACCCACCTTGGTTAAGTCATTACACTTGACTAAGGGTCATCCAAACCCTAACCCTAACCTAACCACACCTCCATAACCTAATCATACCCCATACCATACCATACACCATATCCCACACTCTACCATACTTCACATCGTATACCCTACCATATACCATATCCCATATTCTACCATACTCCATACCCCATACCCTACCATCTCTATACCCCATACTCTATCATACTCTATACCCTACACCGTACTCATACTTCATTATCCATACTCTAATCCAAACCCAACGTAGCCCACTTAACCTAACCCACTTAACCCCTACCTAGCTTAGGTTAACCCTTAAGGAGGCTTTTCCAAGGCAGCACTCAAGCGGGCCTAAACCCAGACCTCGCTAGCAGACTTCTTTAGGATGCTTTGATTAATCGTCGAGCACCTTTACTTTTGTCATCCATACCTCGTACAAGGGAGGTGTTGCCAAAATTCTGTCGGACTCCAGTTAGCCCCTTTCATCCCTACTCGCCTTTGCCCCAAACCAACCCGACTCGCACCACCTAGACCTAGTTGACCCACTCTAGCCTACTTGACCTCCTCTCAACCCACTCATACTCCTCAAATCCATATGCCCCCCAACTCATCCGATCCCCAGTCGATCCCTCTCACTTCACTTGACCCACATAAACTCATTCGAACCTAACCAACTCGAATCAACTAAGACCCATCCGAGACCACTCTAGCTCGTACCAATCCTAGCCTAATCAACTCAATCCAACCCTAACCAAACCAATCAACCTAGACCTAGACCATACCTAGGTATCTCACAAAGCAAACCATAACGACTTTATAGGCCCATCAACAACCGCAAGTGCGCAATCCATAAACCTTAGCGTGCCAAGACGTGCAAGGGAGTGTAATCAAACCACATTTCAAGCTTACGGATCTCGACGGCGTAGGTCTTGCTCCCTCCTGTTATGGTGCTTGGTTCACAAGGCTCACCCGAGGAAAACTAAGGGTGCTTGGCTCACAAGGCTCACCCTTTTGGAAGAATCTCTGCAACTCATACGTCCTCACGCCCCGTCGACTGACGAACATCGGAAGGCTTTCCATGACATCAAAGGTCAGGATCTAAAAGGGCTACGGTCTGGGCGTGTCCCGAACTCAATTGTTCCTTGGTGGCAATTCTTGCCCTCTTTGCATTTGCTTGTAAAATTAAATTTGTCTGTTTGCCAATCTAACCGTACTACACGCCTTATCCATACACACACTGCACCTTGGGGTCACACTACACAATCTCGTATTCCACATTACTCTTAAGTCTTGACATATCAAAAGAATTTATTAGTTGTTGTTACCAGTGTGCATGCTCTTGTTCTTCATATATTGGATAATGGAATTTATGACCCAAACTGTATTACATGGTAACATTGGGTGGTTGGAATTTGACATAGCAAAAGTAGTATCTTTAAGAATTTAGTATTTGTTGATTATTAATTCGTGGTTTTGGCCATCACAAAGCTGACGAGTCTTAGTTTCCTTTCATTTCTTCTGAACCTTAAGAAAGAATATAATAGAAATATTTGTATTTCTTATAAGGTGGCCGATACAATGCTTCCCTATCAGAAAGCAAACACAAATGGTACAAGGTGCATGTTGGTGGAGAGTGAGGACCTAATTTTAAATTTTGATAGCTACTCAAAATTCTGAAATCAAGCTGCTTAAAAGTTGTACAGTTCAATCAAGTGTTGAAACATTTGCAAGTAAATGGTTATTTGTCTATATACCTTTTTGAACGTTTTCCAGGCAAAATTACAGCTATTGAGGTTCTCATATTTTGTACTTGGACTGGTATTGTATTGTACTTCCATAATATAAGGCTTTTGCAACATACTGTTGCTTAAGAATATCTGCAAGATAATTTATTTTCTCTGATAAGTCAATATAATTTATTATCTTGAAAGAAAATGTAATCGCTATTCAACGTAGCCTAAAATCTCAACAAGTAAAAGTTTCTTGCAATATAACTCAATTGCGATGTTGAAGACAATTTTACAACTCACAAGAAGCGTTTACAATCTACCATCATAGCCGATATTGTTGTTTATCAATGGCAAGTAGTCTTGATTTGAAAACGGCAATGCTCGTCGCTTCACCATATTTGAACAAGGACATTTGAATCTGTCCCATCATCCTCTCTCTCTCTCTCTCTCTCTAATTTTTTTTTTTTTCGAGTCACTTCATATGCAACTCGGCTCGTCCTATTGCCTATCATAGATGACAAGTGCTACTCCTGAAATGATGTTATTTGTAATAATAGTAGTCGGAATAGAATTATGTATATATGAAGAAATGGTTCTTTTTTACAGTTCTCTGCACTTCATTATTGTAGGAGGTTCATGACCATCATTCAATCCGATAATAAGTTAATGGTGGCAGTTATAACTATTATCAAACTATCAATTCTGTTTTCCTTCAAACAAAATTAAAAAATAAAATGGAAATCATCATTTCAGTGCCATGCAGTATATAAAGACCACATCATTTTTGGAAGAGGGAGAGGGTGCATACAACAAACTCCTAATGCACTCCATTTGAAAGATTCATTTTGTTTGGTTCGACACAATGAAAATTAGGAGTGTCTTTATTATCTCCTTGATACATGATACACCAGTCCCATATCGCTAAATGGACGATTCAAACTTGCCTATATATCAACAAAAGCCAATTATTCCAGGATCAATCAAGTACCTGTACCCAGAACTTCTTCAACACTCCAGCAGGTAGTACCCAAAACTTCCTTCACATTCCAGTAGGTTATCAAATACAAGTACACATAACTTCCCTAATATTCTAGAATTCCACTAAGAAAAACATCCATTTTCATCTTTCAGCAAACAAATACACCTTAATTGTGTAGTGTGTTCCAGCTAGATGACATCGTACACAGTCTTATAGTTTTCAGATCTATCAAG